AGAGAGAGACAGAGACAGAGACAGAGAGAGACTGAGACAGAGACACACAGAGAAGAGAAACAGAGAGAGAGAGACACAGAGAGAGTGACACAGAGAGAGACACAGAGACAGAGAGAAGACAGAGAGACAGAGAGAGACAGAGACAGAGAGAAACACAGAGAGAGTCACACAGAGAGACACAGAAACAGAGAGAGAGAGAGAGAGAAAGACAAAGAGACAGAGAGAAGACAGAGAGACAGAGAGACAGAGAGACATACAGAGAGAGAGACAGAGAGAGGCAGAGAGAGGGGGAGAGGGGGAGAGAGAAAGAGAGAGACCCTTTGCTTGTATTTGAGACATGAAACAGATGATATGACTCAGGGCATTGGTAGGAAGGACAGGAAGGAGAATAATTTTGAGGAGGGAAAATGCTGTGGAGTCTTCAATATCACAACCTTAATTATGGAAACTAACTCGTTCATTGGTATGGTGGTGTATCCCCTTCCCTTAGATTCTAATCAAATCAATCTTTTTTTCCACCCCCTTCCCTTCTTACCTGGTTTTTAATTAAGTGAACATAAGGGTTATTCTCCCAGACTATCAGAAACATGGCCGAAGCAAACGGCTTAGCACTGTACCAAAGTACATTCTGGAGACCACCGAGCCGAAATTAGGGGACGGAGAACCATAAATCAAAGTTAAGGCACATGGCAGATTAATGGCATAGCTCCTTTCTCCCACCCCCCTGGGGAGTGATGAGATCTGGCCCCTGAGAGATCGACTCTACAACGTTTGAGGTGAAGCAGATTATTTCAGGAGCAGCCTGGTGGCTGGAATGTTGAAGGAAAGCCAACTTTGTCACCTTGATTGACTTCTTGAGCTTGCCTAAGTAAATCCTGATGAATAACCTGTGTCAGCAGAGGAAATTGCCTCTCTGGATCCTTCTCAATCTTTCTAGACTTGTGAGGTTTCTAATTCATGGGGGCAATTTCAGAAGGGAGTCAAAAGACAGGAAATGGCAGCTATATTCCTTGAGGAAACGTAAGTTCCAGGTGGATCCACCTCATGTCTTCTGGCTTTTAACACCATCCTGGCACCATTGGGTGAACACTGTTGGGCTGAGGAAAGCTTCTTTGACATTATTCCAAAGAACTCTTCAAGACTGAACTTGCAGGTTGTATCTCAGCACCTTCACCCTGGATTGTGCTCTATTCACCTCAGCTTATCTCTTGACTCCAAAGATGGTTAGAGATGTCCTGCCCAGGTCAATGGATAATCTCTCCATAGCATCTCAACTTTGCAAGATATTCCAAACGGAAGTTTTCATCGTGTGATGCAGAAAAAATATTTTGAACCAACACCCAGATACATCACCATTGTCTAGAAATACAGATGTCTGGATTTCTTAGGGGTTTTTTTTTTATCAGAGACAAATTGTAACTTAACCCTTTTGGTGGGCTTTTTTTTATTTTATTTTGGTGCAGCCTCCAAAGGTAGAGAGTCTAAATGGTCTTCTTTTGGGATATCGAATTTATTATCGGGAGCTGGAACCTGAAAATACTAAACCAGGAACAGAATCCAAAGCCCTTAAAAACCCATCAGCACTGCGAGCAGAAATTACAGGTACGGAGCCAATTATTTGGGCTGTTTTAATGTGTGATGAATGGTTTGTCATTTGCAATCCGATGAATAAATATTAAAACGCTTGATGGAAATGGGGGGGAAAAAAACTTGTGCATACTCTCAAATTTATTCAACTAGCTGGCTGTCAGATTCGAAACTGATCCATTGGGCTGTTTCTCTCTTCCTCTTTTCTCATTCACCCCAACCCCTCTTATTTCTTGCTTTCTGATTTTTTTGGGGGGGGAGTTCTGTTTGAGTCTTGGTTGTAAATCTGGTGTCTAGGACTAGCATTCTTAATACATCAAATCCAAGGCTTAATCTTTGGGCGGATGGAGGGCAAGGAAGGGCAAGGAAGAAGTGAAGACCAAAGCTTCCCCCACACCAGGGTCCCAAAAGCATCTGCTGTGTCCTCAAGAAACTGGACTTTTCAGTGGGAACCAAAAGACCAGAACTGGGAGAAGTGTATGGATTTGAAGTCCAAGTATGCAACCTGGTACAGAAATTGGATGGTACAACAAGACCTTAGCAACCATCAATATAATCACTGGAAGGGGATGGACGGATGGACGAATAGATGGATGGATATGTGGATGGATGGATAAATAGGTGGGTGGGTGGATGGATGGATGGATGAGTGAGTGGATGGATGGATGGATGGATGGATGGATAGATATGTGGATGGATGAGTGGGTGGATTGATGGATGGATGGTTCAGTGGATGGATGGATGGATGGATATGTGGATGGATGGATGGATGGATGGATGGATAGGTGGGTGGATTGATGGATGGATGGTTCAATGGATGGATAGGTGGGTGGATGGATATGTGGGTGGGTGGGTGGGAAGGTGGGTGGGTGGATGGGTGGATGGATTCTATCCACCATTCCATCATTGGAAAGTCTAAGAATAAAAAGCTCCTAGACAAATCTCCTCTTTCTCATCTCCCTAGAACATAATTGCTTTGGCTCAGTGATTCTCCGGGCATTTCTCATTGCTTTATAGCAGCCATCTCCATAATTTCTTTTGGTGTGGAAAGATAGCTAAGTAAGCCTTCCAGTTTGAGGATCTTTCAGCCTGTTCTCTGGGAGGTGGGCTGACTTATATAGCCAGGCAGCTGGTGCGGGGGTGGGTGCTGAAGGGGTCTTTGCCTTGAACATTGCCTGCACTCGCAACTACTTCACCTCAAACTGCTGGAACCATGTGGAGTTGGCAAATAACGGCTAACCTGGCCCTCTGACTCTTTTCTGCTTTGCTTACTTCGAATAGCCCAAAGCATCTTCAAGGCAGTGAACAGCAGTTCGGACTTAACAACCTACGAATTAACAAGTAAGTTAATTAGGAGTACACACTGATGTAACCCTTCGCAGGGCTGGGGGACACAGCGGACTTCTTCCCTCTTTGAAACTTGGCATTAACTAGGGGGTTGGAGGGTGAGTATGTCATAATTTTAAGGATGGACATCTGGGTAGTGTCGGGCTCCATGTACAATTATGCCCACCAGCAGTAAAAGGCACTAACAGTGGATCCCTCCAGCAAGCGACGCCCGTCTCGGTCGGAGGGGATTTGATGGCTGCCTGGGGATCCCCTATAAGGCCACCCTACAGTGCTAACCGGGAGTTGGAGGCTGACTGGGGAATTCCCAGATAACGTGTCTGCAGCGCTCCGATCTATGAACACTTTGTGGGGGTGCCAGCTCTTACTGAGGGGGGATTTATATATCTTATGTTATGGTCCTGAGGAGTAGAGCGGATCGGTGGTAGGTAGGGTGTAGAACAATCTAAGCAGTGGGACGCGGGACACACGGGAGAAGTTATAATTATCCATATTAGGAAATGAGGGGTAAGTGGGAAACTAGAGTAGGGAGGTGCACAGGAGTTATATGGGTGGGGTAATGCTATAAATGATGCTGGAAAACAGATGCTCCCAACACTAACCTAGATTGGAATTCAAGCCGTTATTGCCGGATGGGATGTGAGTTACTTGCAAATAAACAACTGCATAGCTCAGTGTTTGTTGGTTTGTATCTTGGGAATATGAACATCCAGAAGACCGGCTTACAGGTAGCTTCGATGATGTTTCAGGACTTCAGTCAACTGAAGAAAGTGATTTGGATTGTTTTGCGAAAGCATCACTTAGCGGAGCCGATCCTGCAAATGGTTGGATGGCAATTTTGTGTGGATCTGGTCGGCTTGCGTTTCTTAGGGGATGTTCAGACCATCAGCCTTGCCTTTGCTGACATATACCAAGTGTCAGGGCTCCCAACAAATCCACCCCCATTCAAATCATAAGTCTCTAGCCGCATTCCTCAGAGAAAAATAAAATAAAAATTAGGGTATTTTCTCCCTTCCTTTCTCTCCTCCCTCCCTCCCTTCTTTTCTCTCCTTCCTTCCCCTTCCCTGTTCTCCTTCCTTCCCCCTTCCTTCCTTCTTTTATTTTTTATTTTATTTATTTATTTGGTTTATCAGTCGCTTACAAGACAATAGGAATAAGTATAAACATAAATATTCCTTTGAGAAAACAAGAAATAGGTTCGAATAAATGAGGACAATAGGACAGGGACGGGAGGCACGATGGTGCACTTATGCACGCCCCTTACAGACCTCTTAGGAATGGGGTGAGGTCAATGGTGGATAGTTTGAGGTTAAAGGAGTGGCGGGGTTAGAAGATGTAACTACAGAGTCAGGTATAGTACATTCCAGGCACTGACCACTCTGTTGCTGAAGGCGTACTTTCTGCAACCAAGTTTGGAACGGTTTACATTGAGTTTGTATCTGTTGTGTGCTCTTGTGTTGTTAAATTAAATTAAATTAAAAAGTGCTTAGGGAACAGGTTCTTGGTGCATGGAAAAAGAGGACACTTGCGTGAACCAGTTGTGCTGCAGGTCCTGTGTTTGAGCTAGGTGGACCTCTCCCCCTTAATTTCTCCCCCACCCCATAATACACGGACAGCTCTACTCTAGCATTCCCCCTGGGCCCCTCTCCCTCCCGCCCCCCTCAAAAAATGCGCCATGTCCAAATGCCATTTTCCTGCAGATGGCTCAGAAATACATCACATCCCTCACAAGCAAGGGGAGGCAAAGGTGGAGAGAGAGAGTCCTTGTGTATTAACTGGCGGGAGTTTCAGATTCCCATAAAACTGCCAGTTTCCTACAATATATCAAGTAGTTTTATTTATTATGCTGACAAAATGTAAGCAGTAAATTAGATACCATCAGCTGTCTGTCTACCTGGAACCGGCAGGCAACACACCGCTGTCTGACTGAGCTACGTGGGCAGAATATTTGCGAGCACTTTAGGAAATCTGAAATTAGAAGAGCCTCATTATCAATCTCACAGAACCTTCCCTGGGATGATAGTTTGCAGTGAAACAGTGCGAGAGCTGAAGGGTAGTTCACACGTTGCGGGGGAGGGGGGAGGAGGAGGAACCAATTTGCAAGTAAAACGCCTCTGAATGGAGACCGACCCTGTTGTGGGAGATTTCCAGCAAAGCTTCCCAGAATTGTATTTTGCTGGTGGGCTTCCTCGGTGATCCATATTCTCCAAAAAGAGAGGTGGCCTGATTTGAATATGCAAATCCTCAGAACTTCAAGGACGATGCAAAGGCCTCTGGGGTGGAAGGCATGAAATTTGGTCTTGCTATCATGCTTGTTTGGTTATTAATTACATCATAGCCGGAGGATCTCTCTCTCTCCCTCCCTCCCCCTCTCTCTCTCTTCTCTCTCTCTTCTCTCTTCTCTCTCTCCCTCTCCCTCTGTCTCTCCTTCTATCTCTC